CGGCCTTTTGGATTTTAAAAGGAATGGAAATGAATGCGAAAAAGTGAAGTCGCCAATGAACAACATTGCAACGAACCTGCCTTAGTAGGATGACTGGTGTAACAGCCCCAGTCCTAGTCTAGCCTGCTCCCGAGTACGAGCCTGGAACTTGTCCTTCTCTAGGCTCTAGTTTACCCTGAACAAACGATAATCGCACGTCATTGAGTACATCGAGTAAAAAGGAAGATACATCAAAATAAATATTTTTACCCTCCGCAAACATTTTCAGACCGCTTGACACCATCATACAAAGCATGTCCGACTCGTATCGATCACGACGCCTCAACATAGGTGCATACGAAGGCGATTTTGTATTGAACGTGGCCTACTTTATTGGCATTGTAGTCACAATCTATTTGAATATCAAGTAAGTTCCACACAGTTCTCACATTTTCAACACCTAGCAACACTCAAGCCAAAATGACCACTCTCTTGTAATTCCCACTTTAGAACCGTTAGCCTGTGTTCTCGTATCCCCATGACGTCTTTCATGGGTGTGGTACTAGAGAAGCGCGCTCGCCTCCATCCGAATTTCATGGGAACTTCTACTTGGGATTTCTTCCCAGATGGCACGTTCGCCAGATACGCGTATTGTGATGAGGCAACAAAACACTGTCGAGGAAGAGGGCAGTAACTTTTCCAGCGCCCACCTCAGGCCTTTCATAAGCCTTTCACTCAGAGCGTTGTGAATGCGTATTTGGCCTGTACGTGATGCCCAGCCAACGAAGAAGGTTAGTGCGTTTATACTCCCAGACGAGTCTGGCACCAATAAACCAAGCCCATTGAGATGGAAGGCTCAGTTGACCTCGCTTCGCATCAAACAGGGATTCGATCCTTGAATCGTGCATGTGATATTGTGTGGCACTTGCCACCACATCACCTCGTCTAAATAAATATAAATGCAGCACAGATAATATAAAAGTAGTGGCCAACGACTTTGTACAGGTATGGACGTCGCTTGCCACTGGGAATCGGCTTAGCTTTCTCGGTTATCAGTCTGATGATAATGACGAGTGTCACACTGGAGTCGTATAATGCATGCTGGAGGGTTAGCACCCCTAACGGTAACGTTTTGGAAAGGCTCGCTGCTCTGCTTAGACCAAGACTGGAATCACCCTCCTCAAATTTCAGGTTGGCGAGCAATTTTGGCTAATTTGGCTTATGTTTGTGCTATCATATGCTCCGTAATCATAAAAGTGACCATTCGCCTGGTACGTCAAGTCCTTTTGCTTGTAAATCACTGTCTGGTAGGCCACTTAAGTTACAAATTAGGTATGATAACAAGTTACAGGTGCTTTTCGAAAACGTCCCGACCTCTGTTCGTTCTTTGGTGCCAGTCGCATTTTTCTATGCTGCTGTTATGATTTTGGTGACCAACAGCTTGGTTGCACTCACAAAGGTTTGCCATTTTCAAAGTTTTTTGGAGGCCATCCGTGGCCTGCCATCGTTTGCGTCCATTTGAAATACACTTTTATGTATGAGCTATGCTTTCAGGGTTTCTCCGACGCCTACCCTAATGGAACGAACATATACACACTGGCCTATACCCTATTTGTGGCCCCTTTTGCGCTTCTTCTTGACGATTCTACTTACATGCCTACAAATTCTGCCGAGATTGCAGTTTATAGGTAAGAGCATAATACTTGACGGTGATAAGTAATGGGAGCTAGAATAGAGGAGAGGTGGCAAAGAAATCCTGAAAGCCCGCGATTGCATATAGAAAACGCTGTAAAAAAAAAGGAGTAAGAACGGCATTGTACGAGATTATGGCGACAGCGGTGGCATGGCTGGAATCTTTAAACGAGCTCACAGATGTGTACTATTGCATAGAAATGACTACAGTGAATCATGGATGCCAAAATAACTTACCAATGTCGTCATGGGTCACAACTAGTTACTTGAATTGCCAACATGTGCGCTCCATTATGAATGGTGCAGCCCCAGCAAGGCTTCACAACACGGCCACTCCTGGGTGTGTACGTCAGCCGAGCCAATTTTGGGGCACTTATTGCGCCCTATCTAAGCCTTTTTTCGACCCGAGCGCCCCCTAAACTACCCTAGAGAATCATAAAACCATCCGAAGAAAAAATCTTGAAAAACCATCGTTATCGTGAACTGTGCTTGTGTACTATTACAGGGATTTATAACCAATTTGTTACCCAAGACGAGGTTTTCATTTTCAGCGTGCCCCCTCGTGATTATCCGTCAAATCTTGATCATGACGATATTGCTTCGGAACACTTCTCGACACGTATGATGCTAGAAGCATGCGCTGCAGCCGAAGAAGCTAAGAAAGAAGCCCATTCCGGGTCTGGCGAGAAAAGCTCGAGGAGGGCATAGCACCGAATAAGCGTTCTCCATATAGCGTTAACACTACTGGAAATCTCCTAAATTAATTCTTAATATTCGCTGTTGCAAATAAAGGCAGTGCGTGAATTTTTGATTCTTTTTAATAATTCAATAATTATTGGAAGCCACCAGTTCCGCAAAAATTCCGGCAACTGCTTTATGAGAGAATTAGTGCCGTTCCTGTTCACTGTAGCCCTCTCTTCAATTGATCGCTTCCAAAAATAGTAGCACCACTCTACGGCAGTCAGAATCCCACTACCCATACTGGCTCCATCTGAAGCAGAAGTTGCACAAAGCAAAGGGTAAGTGAGAAGTAGTATCCTTTTAACAGCAAACGATTCTAATGGATTTGGATGCAGTTAAGATTATCCACTCTGCTACATAACCTTGTGTGTTTCGTTGTCTGTTCATCGGTTTGAAGTTATCCGTTTCGAGGGATGGGAGCTCATAGGAAGTATTAACAGGAAAACAAATTAGGAAACTTGTGATCTTGCAGTACGAATCTGAGATGATGGTACAATTGTGATAGCACTCTCCTACAACTAGGCTACTCCTCACATCCACTTCACGAGGTTAAAGAGAGAGGGGAAGTAAAACTCTCGTCTATCGGGGGTAAAGATTTTTCCCTGGATTGGGCGGCCTACCAAAAAGAAGTGCCCGTCGACATTAACTGGTAGAAAGGCAAACCTTTACCGGAGTAACTACCTGCTGTATGTAGAGCTTCAATATTAGCACCCGCAGAAGAACAATGCCCCATCTCTCGTCTGAAGAGCTCATGACACAGACAAGTGGCATTGGCTTCTTCATCGAAATGGAGTTTTCGACTATTTGCAGGCTTTTCGGTATTTTAATTGGCAAAGAGTGTTCAATTAGCAACAATGCAGCTCACTTTTACCTCACAAAAGTGATGGCAGTGATAGGAGATGATTCCTGGACTTGGTGAGACGTTTTTCTCAAATATCGGGAATGATGTGAAGTGCCATGTGCTTTGGAATCCCTATCTGGTGTCCAGATAGCATGAATACCCTCCCCTTCAATTTGGGCTCCACTGTAGCCCGACTTGATTTGCACAGATTGTTCCCACCGGAAGCAATCCGTGCAAATCACGTCGGGCTACAGTGGAGCCCAAATTGTTCCAGAGATGATGCCCTTTAAGACCGAAGATCCCAAGATCAACAAGGATGTCCTTTAGAAAGTTCGCCGCTTGAGGCTGTCTGTCTAGTCGCTCAATCCAGACCGCATACTCCATAAAAGCACTTTTTGTTTAGTCATCAGCTGGTGATTTGTATCCCAAATGATAGACAAAAGGCTCTTTTTGCAATCAAACCAGACATTCAATCGAAGGCAAGTACCTATTTTCAGTATTTCATAGCATGTCATAATGTGTAATCGAAATGTAAACAAGTAAACAAAATATGGAAAGTGCTATGTATAATGATTGACACTATTACCAGTCTCTACTTAAGGAGAGTGGAGGGGGCGAGGGGGGGAGAGGGAAGTGGGNTAGCCTGTGTTCTCTTATCCCTATGACGTCTTTCATGGGTGTGGTACTAGAGAAGCGCGCTCGCCTCCATCCGATCGCGCGTTGTGAAGGAAACTTTCGGATTTTTATGGGAACTTCTTCTTGGGATTTCTTCCCAGATGGCAGGCTCGCCAGATACGCGTATTGTGATGAGGCAACAAAACAC